AGCCACAAATAAAGTATTAACCAAATTTAAATATATTAAAAATGAAGTCATAACCTTTAGAATTAGCTAAATTTTTGTTGTTTTTACGTTGCTTTTTATTTACGGAAGGAAATTTTTTGTAACTGTGCCACTTATTTTCCGGGAGAATCAAAAAAATACTTTTTTTTTTTATTTTATTCATCTAGCTTGACCTCGATTCATAAATATTTTAATAAAAGCATCGTATGAGCATATGATGACACAGAATGATTTTAGATAAGCTCATTAATATTACAAATTGATACTGAAATCGATTTTCTTTATTAATTAATTTTAGCAACGTTACATGACCTGACACGTTAATATTGATAATTTCTTTTTTTTTAAAAAAAAAAAAATAATAATTTATAAAATATTCTCTCTCAATTTCACAAATTTACATTAAATATACTCCCAAAAAAAAAAAATACAAAAATTACACATCACAATAAAAATATTTGGAATTTATATTTAGAAAAAAGCAACGACAGCTGCAACCAAACCAGCAGCCGCGACATTAAACATTTCATCTTTCAAAGCGGGAGCAGCGCCAGATTTTCCGGGAGCCGTTCCAGGAGTTGGTGACGTAGTCGCTGATCCCGTATGCGTTCCCGTTTCCGCCGATGTTGATCCTTTGAAAATTAAGATATGTGAACATTTATATAATTTTTAATTCTTGTATCTATTACGGAAATTTTATTTTACCTGATACACTTGCAGCAGTGTCAGAAGATGTAGGGGTTGGAATGGCAGAAGAATCCGTAGGAACAATTGATGATTCTTGAGAATGAATTGCAGGTAAGCAAGAAATTATGAACAAAGCGATAAAGAATAAAGTGATGGATTTCATTTTCGCGAAAATTTTTCTTTTAATTTGGGTAAAATTAATTTTTTTATTTTTATTTTTTTTTATGACCAGTTTATTGAATAAAAAAAAAAGAAGCAAGCATTTATCAACTCCTTTTATATGAATTCGTTAAATTAACTAATATATACAAATATAGCATGGTGAGAATTTATGACGTTTTCTTGTTTTTAATTTTGGAAAGAGCTAAACCAATTTTACTTTGATAAAGAAACAAATGATAACAAAAAAGATGAATCATTTTATCAATATAAAAATTTTGGAAGTTTCTAAAACACAAACCAATTCCCGAATTAACCTGCTTTAACTAGTGAGATAATGAATCAAATTAACCAAAAAAAATTCGTTTATTGATGTAGAACACATAAATATATGAACATTATAACTTTCGTAGAAAGTTGTCTCAATAGATTGACACATGATCATTATCATGATATCATCTATTTCCTTTTCCTTTAGGTGATTTATTTGTAATGAATAGATCTACTTTGATGATGTTATCGATAATCAAATAAATAATCAAACACAATGAAAAGTTTTTAACAATGAGATTACCGACTATAGTTGCCAAGTTGCCAAGTTGACAAATGAGTCTAATATAGGTTAACTCGTGAATTTTTCACATTATATCTTTTCTATTTTTAAGTTCATTCACTGTTCATATATGTCAAGATTCGAGCTTATTCATATTAAACTTAATCCTTTGCATGTTGTAGATCATTTTTCAGCCCAGCCCAAGATATTCAGTCATTTCTTAATTTAAAATTTGATTTATATAAAAATAAATCTTGATTGAACGAACGTATCAACGTAAATTCTTATGTATGCTCCAAAGGTCTCATGATAATTGAAAGCAATTTTGTTACACAAATTATCGGAATAAAGAATAATAAAAATGAAATTAACTGTCAGAAAAAAGTAATAATACGAAGAACAAGTTTACTAACGAATAAAAATAGATTACAACTAAAAATGCTATGTTCAACTATAAATAAAATCTTTGTATTAATACACGAAATTGTTGCATTAAATATATAAAATATATTTTATTACTGATTAAACTTCAATGTCGCATCTCTTTACTTATTACACAAAAATTGTTTATCAAACGTGTGTAATTTGAAAGATCTTTGTTCCGTCGATTTTCTAACTTTTGATGCCCATTTGCAAAATAAAAATACAAACTTTTATTAAAATGATGCGTATCTTTTGGCGCAAAGGTGAAGAGGCGCAGTAATTTCTGCGGTAAATTAAACTGACGACGATATAATAAATTAATAAATTATAAAGTCACATGACCCGGTAAATAAATTTGATGTTTGGTTTGCGAGATTAGTAAAGCTTAGTACATGCAAATTAAAAAATTTTTTTTATTTCTTATTAAACGCGTTAAGCCTGACTAAAAAAATTTTGTCTGAACGTAACGTTAAATGGTCGGTATCAATTTAGGAACGGTAGCTCGTAATATTATCTTGGTTGCAAAAATGAAAGAATTAAATTATTGCATAGATAAAAAATCAAGAACATCTCGTTGGTCGTAATTTTAACTTTCAATCCTACACGAGTCACCATTGATTTCTGTCAGTTAGCCAATTAAATTTATTGAAAAGTATGAAAGCCATACATTCACGACAAATCAAAAGGTGAAAAGGATTTCACCAAAGAAATTCCTCCCATGATAAAATGAAGGTAACCATTTTATTAAGAAAAAATATTCATTTATTAAACATAAGAACGTATTATTTTAAGGACATTCCTGAGTAGGTTAACCGATAGAGAGTGGCGCTTTATTTACCGTCAAGGCTTAATTATAAAATTCCTTTGAAATACAGAAAAAGCACAAACGTTTCATTTGCCAGCAATCTTATTATCCAAACAATAAGCGATGTATGTAGCAATTGGTTCATTAATTATACGAAATATGGAAACTTTAAAAAGTTCCAGCGTAATTGAAGAATTACTTGATCTTTGTACCAAGGAAAGCTTCTGCGTGGTTTCTATCATTATTTAAATTATTGATAAGTTCTACTAAAATAATTTCTCCACCATTAGGATCATTATTTTTTTAGCAATTTATGTTTTTGGCTGTATTTGAAATATGAAATTTCCCAAATTACATGAAAATTTCTAGACCAAAATCTTATAAAAAAATTTTTATAACATTTTGTTTTTAGTAGTTGTATATTTATAAATTTACTTAATTTTTCTGTATAAAAAAGAACGCTCAGAAAAAGTGCTTTTGCGTACAGAAAAAATCATCCTAAAATATTAGAAAAACGCGCCTATGACTGTCTGTAAATATGTAAATATTCTGAACGTTTCTTATAAGGTTTAGCAATGAAAATTAACGTATTGATATTACCAAATCCCGTGTTAATTGTAGGATCTACGAGAAAGAATTATCACATGACCAAACCAAATTGACAAATATATGACGAAGTGATCATTAATTATGTTTGTTATAATGATTAGTTAGGATTTATTAAATAGAGTTAATTATATTTATTTTATGGAAATTTGAATTTTGCGCACCCTGCACCCAAGCATATTTTTTTTTATGCACGTATAGTAAATTATTAAATATGAATTTTACATGGCATCCCATGCGTAGTTTTTTTTGATGCGCAGTCCATATGATCATGTGCACGATCATTTATTAGACTTTTAAATAATAATTTGTTTAATCAATTGTACCCACGCTTCTTTTCTTTCTGTCTCTCTTCTTTTTATTCTCTCTTTCATTATTTTTTTTTTTTATAAAGCTTATTGTTAAAATGAGCGATTCAGAATCACTTTCAAGTGATAATTCAGATAATGAAAATTTTCTTAACGATTTTATCGAAAATATTCCAGATGATAGTGAAGATAATGACGATTTTATCTTATGATATGAACATTTCATCTTTGACATTGGAAGTTGGATTATCTTTTCTTACTTAGAAGGCTGTCTTTACGCATATTAAACTCTGGGCTCATAAACAAGGATTTTTTATTCGTAAAGGAAGAAACGAAGAAAATAGACAATTGAATGTTATTGTGAAGATGTTTATGATAACAAATCAAGGAAATCATCAAATCTCATCAAACAGGTTGTAAATAGCATATTAATCTTTCCCAGAACATTAAATGGTATGATTTTTATTACTACAATTTTAATGAATACTTTGGACATAATTTGGATCCTTTTGCATGCCATTTTAAGGTATCTAAAGCTTTTACAAAACTAATGTTAAAGATATTAAATGGATATTTGTGTATTGTCATCTAAATCTATTAACAATTAAACGTATGTTGAAAGCTAAATATAATAGAAAGGTTTATAATCAAGTTCTTTATTGAGTTATTACAAGTATCATCATAGTAATGATATACAAAGTAATAGTATTTCATGAGTTTTTAAAAACTGAAATAATGATAATTTACATTAAGTAGCTTATAAGGATTGGAATCACAAAACTAATATACTAACAAAATTCTTTTAGATGGATCCTAACCAATTGAAAACTTGGTGCTGATATAGTAATATTATTCTTAATGATAATATCTTAAAAGCCAATTACTACAAAATATCACTTTTCTTTTTCATAGTAATTGATAACATAAAATCACAAATTGTTGCTTAAATACTAATAGATCAAGAGATCAAAAATGCATATTCATATATTTACAATACACTGTAGAAGCAACAAGACTAATACTAAGAATATTTATAACAAATGCATATTCTGATATAGATGCTGCAATTTAATTAAAATATTCTTTTATATTTGTAATACATTATATTTGATATATTAGTTAAAATTTAACATTGCATCTTAGGTCAAAATTTAGTAGATCATTTGATCAATTTAAGAATAATTTTTATGAATGTTCAAAAAGTTTAAAACTAAAAGTATTTAAACAATATTAAACAAATTTGCTCATTAATTAACCAACTACTGTAAGTTATCTTAAAAGAACAGTGTTGATACATGATATTATATGACTTATATAATTTACATAACTTATCATAAATTATTTATCATTTAAATAAGTTTTATAACTTATAACTTCATTATATATTTCTTAATTTAAACCAATATTATATTTGTTTAGAATTATTAATCAAATCATTTTCATAAAAAAAAATTTAATTATACAAATTCTTAAAATAATAAATTTGAAATTTTAAAAATATTACACAAAATATTTTTACTTTTATGTAATTTATACATCTACTAAAATAAGTTAATTTCTTTTTTATTTATCTAAATCTTCTTTAACATATGTATTTAGTACTAATATTTTTATATTAAATATATAAATAACATTATAAATACAATTAACTTTTGATTTAGCAAACTCTTGATAAACAAATTTTTTAAACAAATATAATAAAAATACTCTTATTATAGCAAATTAGCTAATCAAATCTCTTAAAATCTTCATTATAGCTTATAGTAAAGTTGAAATTTAAGATATAGAGTTTATTATAATAAGAGTTAACTATATTTTTAAACAGTTATTATATAATTCTAATAGCATATTAATAAATGTGTTTCTTGCAATAAAAAAATATTTAGAAAAGAAGCAAGATAATAATGATTATGAAAATTGATATAATATACTTTTAGCTATTCAATCTACTACTACAGTTATTCAAATACATTTATAGATATAATTAATAAACTTAAGAAAATTCATTATAGTGAAATAAGTTTAGCTAATTTTAACTGATTTTTGATGTATATCAGTTGACTAAACTGATTTTTGATAATTTATCAATTTTAGGTTGATTTTAGCTTGATTTATCATATATCTGATTTTTTTGATTTTAATCAGTAAATAATATCCAAAAAATATTAAACAATAATTTTAGAATATTGATACAATATTAATTAGGAAGTTTATTTGATTAATAAAAATAAAATTATATATATTTTATATTTACGAATAATATCTTTATTTATTATTATTATTAAATATAAATTGTATCAAATATTGAA